AGAGTCACTGCTATCTGCGATATGCCCGAACAATCTACAGTGAAGGACTTAAAAAGATTTCTTGCTGTGCTCAATTTTTATCGATGTTTCTTACCTCATGCAGCAACCGTACAAGCACCTCTAAATTCTTTTTTGGTTGGAAGCAAGAAAAATGATGAACGTGTTATAACCTGCACCACAGAATCTCGCGAAGCGTTCCAAAAATGCGAAAATGATTTAATTTTGGCAACAAATTTGCAGTATCCTTCCGCATCGAAACTATTATCACTCTACGTTTATAAGGTATTTCTCCCGCTTTCCTAGCGTGGTGTAGTGGTTCCGCACGCTGGGCCGGTACTCCAGAGGTCCGCGGTTCAATTCCTGGTGAAGGCGGTTGCTAATTTTTCAATCTTTCTTGCTTCCAAATATCCCAATGTCTCTAAAGTGGCGCCCGAACTAAAAGGGGTGTTGGATGAGGATTCTCCACACCCAGGATTTGGTGACTGGGTCCCATAAAAACCCCAGTCACCCTTTAAAAGGGGAGTATAAGCCTAGCGTGCCTTCGTGGTGTAGTGGTTCTTTACCCTGGGCCGGTACTCCAGAGGTCTGTGGTTCGATTCCCGACGAAGGCGTTGCATATTTTTCATCTTTTCTGCTTCCAAAAAATAACGTAATGTCTCTACACATTGACGCATCAACAACAAGTATAGGAGTAGTTTTACAACAGAAAGATAAAAAATTATGGAGACCACTTTCACATTTTTCTTAAAAACTCTCACCAGCACAAACTAGATACAGCACTTATGATCACAAATTATTAGGAATTTATGAAGCTGGCAAATATTTATGATCACAAATTATTAGGAATTTATGAAGCTGTCAAATATTTTCGACATATGCTAGAGGGATGCGTTTTCATGATCTTCACAGATCACAAACCCTTAACCTATGCTTTTCAACAATGTTCGGATAAAGCTTCTCGTCAAATGAGACACCTACTAGACTTCATAGGACAATTTTCAACATATATCCGTTATATTGAGTGATCGCAGAATATTGTAGCAGACACCTTGTCTCGTATTAAAGAACTAGCCGTTCCTTCTCCAATAAACTTTGCTGCCCTTGCAGATGAACAACACTAGGATTCAGAACTACAAACCCTCTTGAAAAGCAAATCTTCCACCAATCTCAACTTGCAGCCTATGCAGCTGTCACCTGAAAAATCACTTTATTGTGATGTTCGGGATTCAAGATTTCGACCTTATGTTCCCTCCGGGTTTTGCCATGTCATTTTTAGTCAGTTACATCGTCTGTCACATCTTGGCATCAAGGCTTCGATTAAACTGATACAGAAACGTTTTGTATGGCCTAGCATGCAAAAGACATAGCCAACTGGACACAACTGGTGCTTGGAGTGCCAAAGATAAAAAATTGTCAGACACACCACCAGCCAACTGAAAAGTTTTAATTTGCCCTCATCTTACTTCAAACACGTGCACCTCGACTTGATTGGGCACTTATATTTATTAATTAATATAATACATGAATGCACATTTTTCTTACCTTGGAAGAAGCGCATTTATCATTTACTTCGTCAAAGTCGATCCTTTCAAATTTTTCTCTTTACACATTTAAAAATGCTAGATGACTTAGGGGATCTTGTCCCATCGTTGATTGTAAATATCTGAAAATTTATTTTAATTTGCTGAACGAACGTTCATAGCTAGCATTTGATAATGAAATAGTAAGTAGTATTTGAAGTGCGACTCTTAGGTTTTTAAAAACTTTTTCTCTATAAATCTGTAGTGGAGTTTTAGGTTCCGTTTCTTTTCTGCTGTGGAGTAACGTCATGCAGTCACATTCACTGCTCAAAACAATTAGGGGATATTGTGGGTTTGGTATGAAATAACCATATAATCGATAACCTTTTTGAACAAAAGGAAATAGAAAAGATTATAAAGGAAAATTATAACGTTTACAAAGTTGGGAATATGCAAATTTAGTCTGTGACGTCAAAAACTATGCGTTTTAGATAAGGAGTAAGGAGCGACCTGCAGTATTCCTTTTGTAATAGGACATTAAAAACAATTGACATGCGTTGAATGCTTCGTAGCAGTGAGTATACGATGTCTCTAGTTGAATCATTAGCCAGGAAGGTCATCAGTCGTTTACAGGAGAGTCAAATGCAATCCATTGTAGCAGAAGCGTTAGGATTTCCCCAAAATGTCATTTCCAGATTATGGAATCGGATTTTGGAAAATTGGATATGTTTGAGAAATTCGGGACAAGGTCGTGTTATCGTTTTAAAATAAAAAGCGGGAGATATATGTGCATTTCATTTAAAAAAAATACAAATATATTTCTACTTTGGAGAAATAAAGTGGTCAGAAAGAACGTTTTGGTTGAGGTACTGCAAACATTTTATTACACATTTTATCAGGCAAATCAAGAAAATAAATAATTAATTATATTACAATAGTTATTAATTTTAAATATACTTTCCAGAAATCTATCAAAATAAAAACTGAAATTTTTCGGAAAATCTTGTTTGGAGACCATTTGGCACCCCACTACGAGCGGTGCCCGGGGCATCATGGCCCCTTGGCCCCCCATCGCTATGCCACTGCTTAGGATTTTTCTTTCAAAAGCTGATATCAGGTCTTTCTCTGCTCTGTCAAGTATCCAACATTCACTTCCGTAAATGGCAACTAGCCTTATTAAAATTTTATATAAATTTAATTTAGTTTTTACATTAATTTGGCTTTAAATTGTTTTTTAAGGCCATAGTAACATCTAACCTCAAATATTCTATTTATTTCAATTTTAATATCATTGCAGCTTGTGATATCATTACTGTACAAATGCATGTTTACTACATCCTAATTGATTTATGATCAATTATTGATATTATTGCGTGTATAAAGATGCAAACATAATATTTTATTTTGTTTTAAATGTGGCAGTTTTTTGTTTTTACAATTGGTGATTGGAGAGGAAAGTAAAGCAACATGAAATTACATTGTGCTTGAAACTGAAAGTCAAATGATTAGATGCAAGTGAATAGCAGTCTGATATTGGAACTGCATTAACCCCTTCCTATGCTTTTCTATTGTGAATTGCATTTTTTATATTCTCAACTATTTGAAAATTTCAAGTAACTTTGATTCCGCATTCTACAGTCAAAAGTCTTTAATCTGGACTTGTCGGGACTTCGGCAATTCCGGATTATAGATCATCAGTTTAAATCTGGTAAGATGGCATGTGGAAATTATACAATTAAAAATATGAAATCGTAATTTATGAAATAAAGAGCAATTGTGATCTAAAGGGTAAAAAAATTTACACACACACACACACACACACACAAAAAAAAAAAAAAAAAAGCTTAATATTTATTTGTTTATTTTATTAAACATTTCTTTCAACGCGCGCTTGCGTAAAGCATACATTACGCATAGTCGAAATTAGAAAATTGCAACCAGAAAACTGTTTTATGCGTATTCGTGATATTTATAATGATGAGGAAATTGATTTAAATCATATCGGAGTACATCGAGATGAAACAGTACATTTAGTAGGAATTATAGGCCGAATAAAATAAAAACATCTGCCCCTTGAAGATGAGAATAGTGCTGACAGATCAACTTCCAGTTCATTGCGCACCACAACGTCCCTCCCCCTTCCGCAGAGCAGCGTGAAATTCATAAACAGATTTCGGAGTGGTTAGAGAAACAAATCACCTCTCTGTCACTTTCTTCATGCCTTTATCCATTTTTTGCAGCAATTCCACTTTTTGTTTAATGGACATCGAAACATGCTTTTGCTTTGCAGATCCTTTGGCAGCTCCAGAATTAGAAATTCTATGTGGCATAATCGAAAGTTCAAGCTTACTTATATAAAATTGCTCTAACAGTCTGCAAAAAATAATAAGCCGGATCCAATTCGAAGATTAAGGAACAACGTAATCTGCAACATTAACTGAAATAGATAATTAGATAATTTTAGCTTAGCTTATACTGTCCGTTATACATTAAACACGCATGCGTAAACGTATTATGCGCAAAGGTATTACGTGCATGCGGAAATGCATTATGCGTTTACGCATGCACAGAAAGTTTGTAGCTTGGAGGTCCGGATTATGGACATCCAGATTAAAGACTTTTGACTGTATATAGTTGAGCTTTTACTGTACTTTTGGCTGTTTTACTTTTATGTTTGTTTTAGTAAATATCAATTTGAGATTTAATTATTTCATTCTTTTAGGTTTATAGTACAGTCATAAATTGGAGACTTGCATCCAATTCATTAGAAACATGAGTGAAAAAAGTGTTTCTTCATTAAAAAGTGTAGAAGAAGAGTATGCAGACTTCATAAAGGAGAGAATTCAGAAATCTGGTGGATCAATTCAGTTTCAGCATCTTACTGGTCATCTTTCTCAGCTTGATTTCAGAGTAAGAGAAGCTTTGGGTACAAGTAAATCAGAGCTGATGAAATTCATCCGAAAGCATAAAAATTTGTTCAGTATTGACGAGCATGGTATAGTGACAGTAAATTCATCCATTATTTCAGTTCAGAAAGAAAAGTCAAAAAATGGTTCTTATGATAGCAGTTCAGAGTCAGGTGGCTCATTGCCTTTTAATATAAATGATGGGGAAGGCATTGTTGTAAGAATATTTCCTACTTATGGTTTTATAAATGCACAGAAACCTTTCAAAACATCAGTCTATTTTACACCAGCCAATTTTAATGACAAAGAGAAAACTCTTCTTACAGATTTTAATGGACTTTTTATTGGACGTAAGGTTTGTTTTAATGCTATAAAAGGAAATATGAATTATGAAAGTAAATATCGAGCCACCAGCGTATGGTTTGCTCCTGTTTCTGATGATGAAGAAAAACCTACTATTCCTAACACACGTAAAAAACGTGAAACTGGATTATATGATGGAAATTTTTTGGACGGTTTTGGTGAAATACAGAAAATTTTTCCTTCTGTTGGATTTATTATAATTGATGGTGACATAAAAAATACAGTTTTCTTTCACAGGCATAATGTGTGTAAATTTAAAAATGTTATGGATTTAACTAAAGTATTAAAAGAGGGAGATGTTGTTAATTTTAAGGCTATAAGAAGTACAAAGAAAGAGGCAAGAGCTCGTTGGGAGGCGACTCAAGTATGGCTTAAAAAGGAAAGAAGCACTAAATTAAAAAATGGTGATTTAGATTCTGATCTAGATGACACATTAGATGTTGAGAGTCGAAAGTCATCCACACAAAATAGATCGCTTAAAAAAGAAAATGGTGATGTAAAAAAAGATAAAGCTACTCCTCAAATGATTAAAAATACTGCTGGTAAAATTAGCCCTAATAACAAAGGAACGGTAATTACATTTGGTAAGAACCTTGAAGAATTAGTTGATGCTGATTCTAGTCTTTTTTATGTTCATGGTAATCAAGTGACAGATGTATGTTGGGAATTTTCTGATGGTCAGGATGTGTATTTTGATGCTGTTGAAATCAAATCTGCACCTTATTGGAAGGCTGTATTGGTATGGGTTGGTGAAAAGCCAGATGTAGTTTTACCAACATGTATAGGTGACTTTAGTGCATTCATAGATGATGATGATGATCTTGATGATATACCAGAATCTGGTAGCTGTACTTCAAAGACATCAGAAATTTCCGTGTTATCGGAAGTTAGTATTGACTCTTCATCCAAAAAATCTGAAGATTTTAAGCAGAATCAAAGATCAAGTTCTTATGATAATCGACAAAAGTTGGCCGACAAAAGTTTTAGTTCTGAAATTCTGAAATCTTCAACTCATTCTTCACAGCGATTATCTTCTAATGCTAATTATGCCCCTTTCAGAAAATCTAAGGATTTAAAACAGAAATACTCTTTGGCTGGTTCTGGGGAAAAGAAAAAGTATAGTTATGCCCCTCATTCTGATAATGAAATTTCAAATTACAGAAAGTCTTTCGATTCTGCTGCTAGTCTCAATAAATCAGATCTTATTCAAGATGAATTGCCACCGACAGGTTCTGAAGAAAATGTAGAAAACTTTAAAAAATTTAGTTTTTGTGACAGTTCAACTTTAGATCATTCAGAAACATTGAACTGGGGTGATACACCCTACCCAGATGATGAAAATAGTGAAAACTTAGATACTGAAGTATTTGAAGACTGTAATCATAGTGTTTCTGATTCAAATAACTTTAATAAGGAAAATAAGCAAAAGGAAATACCAGAAACAAAAAAAGACCTATTATCTGTGGGTAATAAATTTATAAAGGTATTTGAAGCAAAAGCAGATGCACATAATCTTGAAGAGAATTATGCAAATATAGTGGTAGAGTCTGATTTAATGAATGAACCGGTTGCATCTGAGTCTGAAAAGAAAGCATCCATTAAGCGTTTTCAAGATATTGATGGTAAAATAACGAAAGTTTATCACAGGTATGCTGAAATGGAAAATAGCTTGCTGAAAAAACCTGCAGCATTCTTTTGGAATGAATTATATCGAAATGGAGTATCTGTTTTGGATCATTTTGATGATTTAAGAGAAGTTATAAAAATTGGAGATATTGTTAAATTTGATTGTTTTGAAATAGTTGATGATTTTGGAGATTTCTGTCAAAAGGTGACTGTTGTTTGGAGTGGTCCAAAACCTAAAATTGAACTAATGACACCTGAACAGTATATAAAGCAGAATAATATGTCAGTTACTATTGTTGAAGCAAAAGCAGATGAAAAGCAAGATGAAGTAATATCTGAGAGCATAAGACTTCTTAACAAAGAAAGTGAAGCACCTCAAAAATTTTTATCTGTTGTTTATAGTGATGAAGTAAGTAGTGATACTGAACAGAGTGTATCAATACACTCTGAAATGAACAGTCTAAAAGAGCAGGCATCATTATATCTTTATCAGGAAAATGCAGTTTATAAATCAAGGTATGTTTCAGAACCAAAGGAATTAAATTATGATGTAGCATCATCTTCAACTTCAAACAGAAAGCAGCTAATTGAAACTGTCTGTGAAATGATGGAACATAAGAGCCTGTTTTCTGCATATTCAAAGGTATGTCTCTCGTACTTCTTTTATTTTATAACTGTTTGGATATTTGTTTTTGAAGTTTTTCATGTAATACTGGTGAATCATTCTAGTAAAATGCATTAAATTTGAGCATTAAAAGCATTAATTTTCTTGAAAAATTTTATACAAATGTTAAGATGCTTATTAATGAATATTTTGATCTAGATCTCTTCACATGAAGTACAGTGTACGTTTTCTCAACTCTTCATAGTTCCTCTTCCCAACTTATTTTTTTCAATTTCCCTTTCAACTCTTCAATTGCCTGTTAGAACAATAAAGGCAATCACATGACTTGTCATTTTGTCTTTCTGATAATTATGCGAATCACAACTCAAAGTGAATGTTTAAAATAAAATCTGTTAAAAAAAATAATAAAAAAAAAAAGGTTTATGCAAAGCTTAAAAAGTTTAACATAACTCTGCTGTGTGCAGTTAGATCAGAACACACGTTTCTATTTGAATATGGAAATTCAAATTCAGCACATCATAGTAGCTTTGGCTTGGCCCTAACTTTCCACAAAATAAAAATGTTTTGCCAAAGATAAAGCTGAGAAAGTAAAATTTAACAAATAGGTAGTTAAAACAGAGTAAATCAAAAAAATAAATATTTATAATTTATATATAAATATATATAAAATCAATATATATATATATATATATATTGAACTGAGTAAAAAATACTGATTATCTCTTTGCCTAATAATGAGAATGACAAGTGAAATAAGTGAAGAACTAAGAGTTTTTAAAATAACTTTCTTCATTCTTATTATGAATGCATTCAGTGAATAAGTTTGATATATATGTTCTGGAAAATAAAAAGAATACGCGTAATAAACGCAATTTACGAGGGCCATCCAGGAAGTAGATTACGTTTCCGTCTGTGTCCGCTAGGGGCGGGGCTAGCGCGGCCATCTTGGGGTCAGAGCGTTGCGCAGCTCAGTCTGCATCTAGCCGTGCTAGTGAGAGGTTCGTGCTGTGCTCCGTTCAGATACTGTGACGGTTTGAAATGTCTGCGTTAATTGAAAATCCCGCGAGCTGCGAGGTGCGCTCAGTAATAAGGTTTCTGACTGCAAAAAAACTGTAAACCGATAGAAATCTATCGGCAGCTTCGTGAAGTGTATGGGGACAACATTATCACTGAAGGTGGAGTGCGTCAGTGGGTCATAAGATTTCAAAATGGCCGAACCAATGTTCACGACGAAGATCGAAGTGGGAGACCCAGCATAGTGACCGCCGAACTTCTCGAAAAAGTCGATGCTAAAGTCCGTGAAAATCGAAATTTCACAATAACGGAACTTTCTTTGAGTTTTCCACAAATTTCGCGAAGTTTGTTGCACGAAATCATCAGCGAAAAGCACCACAAGGCAAGAAGAGGTAACGAAGTGGTTGAAGGCGCAGGCGGCCGAATTTTTCGACGAAGGAATTTCCAAGCTCGTACATCGCTACGATAAATGCCTTAATTTGTATGGTGACTATGTAGAAAAGTAGTATTTGAGTGTGGCTTTCATCTGTATATAATAAAATTTGTTTCCTATACTTTGTTTATTTTTTTATTCCAAAACGTAATCTACTTTCTGGATAGCCCTCGTATATGATTCTTTTCCCCCATGAAATTTAGGCCTGATCTAATTTAAGATTTTGGTGTAAACTATTTCATCATAAACAAAATGTCTGACTTTTCCCATTTATGAAACTTGAAAAAGGTTCAAATATATGGTATCTTTTGAATGGGTTTATGGGTTATAATTTGTTTGTATTTCTAATATAAATGATGGGATACTCGAGTTTCTAAGCAAGAAGTGAAACATAAGCATTTCCAAATTCATTTTTTCTAATAAAGAGCTCCTAAACAACTTTACACTTTTGGGGATTGTGAATTCTTTTATTAAATGGTTCTAAATTTGACTACTTGTCAACATTTTGGCGATTTTAAGATCAGTTTCTATAGAAAAATTTTAATTTTGAGATCTGAGAATTTTTCAGCGATTTTTTTTTTTTAAACATCATAACATTGATAAATTTCATTAAAATAATGGTAATATATTCGAATTATATTTAAAAAATAACATTAAAATAAAACATTTTTATTTTTCACTGTCATATTATAAAGCTTCATTTTGGCAACTTATGATTTATTTTAAATCTGAAATAAGGTATATAGCTATAAAGCATAATTTACGAAACAGCTCTTGGTAAAAGCAAAATTAGCTATGTAGTTAATTAAAAATGTCTTCTTTTTAATTTTTTCATGGTAAGTGTTTTTCCCATGTAATTGTCACAGATTATTCAAAATTCTCAGAATATGCATCAGTTTCCTCTATAAAATTAATTTTACACATTTTCCTTCCTTTTTTTCCCCGAAATATTTCTGTCTTTTTGCTGTTACAGAATTGGTTGGGATAATTTTTCTTCAGTATTTTTGACATTGCAGCATGGAAAGTTTAGAAGGATTTGAAGGCAAGATTTATAGAGACCCACGATTCTAGAGATTCGAGAAATATGTGACAAAATGTCTCCATGGTATCAACATATCAACATGTAATGGATGCATTTTACGGAAAGTTTGCGATGAATTTCTTACTTTTTGGAGAACGTCTTGAACAGGGTTCGTAGCGATCCTTACAAGTGCTTATAAGTCCTTATATTTGAAAATAAAATGTAAAGGCCCTTATAGGTGCTTACTTTTTTTTAAAGCCCTTATTTTTTTTGTTTTTAGTGCTTTTTTTTAAAAATCTTTTGTTTTTAATGAACGCGCATTTTTTCCCCGTACCAAAGCCGAAACTAAATAAACAACTTTTCTTCCTTGTATGCAACGTCAGATGGTGAATCATACTCCCGGAAATTGCTTCCTCCCCCTTCCTCTGCATTAACGTAACCTATGGTGCGCGCGAGAGTACAGACAGGTGCACGTCGTTTCTATTGGCCAAAGAATTGAAAACGGTAGAAAATTCCGGTACATTTGGTATTCTTTTCCTCCCACCCAAATACTGCACACGTTTGAATATTTATCAAGATTTTAATAATTTGCATTCTCCTTCCGCGTGGTCAGTTCATATTCGTGTTTATTATGATCGTTATGCTTATATTATGAGCATATGTATGAATATTTATAATAATATACTTGCAGTAACTGCTGAAGTATAGATAAACTTCCAAAAATGGGTGTGTTTTTACACAGATTAGCTTTCTAAGGAATAATATTCGGAATGGCTTAAATAAAAGGAAAGTAATCGAATAATCAAAATAATTTCATTTTCTTTGCCAATACATTATACAGTACGGAGGTTGGGAGTTTCTCCGCAAAATCTCTAATATTGAAGCAGCGGACTTTTTTTTTTTTTTTATTTGTCACTGTCCAATCTGGATTGAATAGGACTAAAAAGTTTTTGCGGTCTACCCAACCCAAGCGAAGATTGATTCTATTCCGGAAATTTAATACAGTCTGTTGAAAATTAGAATCAGAAACACCCCAGATTAGTAAGTCTCTTTCTTTCTCTCTTTTTTTTTTTTTCCTTTATTTAGTTCTCTGTTCTCCGAATACCGGCAGGTGTTGATTCCGATTGCGTAATATCACATATGGAAGAATTATGCCGCACGTATTGCGCAATAACGTTTGCGGTATTTTGCATTGATAATTAATTTTGATGTTCAGTCTGAGATTTGTTTATGAACACTTAAAAGAGTTTTACTGTACTTTCTAAGCAGAATATTTCTCAGTTCCGTTGGTCTATTTTTATATGATGCACATATCGAAACGTCAAAATCATTTATTTGGCCGAGAAGTCTAAAGAACGGCTACAGTCTCCCTCACTCCTCTTTTTCCAGTTACTATCTGGAATATTCGGGAATTTCCGAGAATATGGGTTAGATAAGCTTTTACTGTTAAAGGATGACTGGATGAAGCAATTTCACGTCTTCTGATTTCAGAAATGTGCGTCTCTTTTACTTAAATTACTTTGCTTGGAATATATGTTAAGGGAAAACTGTATGCAATGAAAATTTAGAAAATGTTCAGAATTTTGATTTAAGTTAAATTATTTAAATATTAATATGAGTGGAAAAATAAATTGTATTTATTATTAGGTGCCAAATGAATACAATTAATATGGCTTATTATTATTTATTTTCTATATTTTCAACTGAAATATCATCATTAAATCTTGTAATATAATTTAGTTCTGCATAGTTTTTTTCCTCTCGTTGTAAACTAATTCTGTAAATTGAACTGTCATTCAAAATTAAAAAAAAAAAAAAAATAAAAATAAAAATAAAAAAAATTGTTTTCCATTGTTGAGGTAATGCTCATTCTGTTAATAAATATTGGGTAAAAGCGCAGAATAGGCTGCATCAACAAAGTTCAGTAGGAGGAGCTGTGTGACGTCAATAAATGGGTGGGACTAAGCTTATGACGTCACAATCTAGTGTCACATTTATACTATGTGTACTTTCTATTTTCTCTTAAAAATAACAATAATAAATTGTTTATTATTGTAAATTAATATCAAATTCTTTACTTTCAATTTACATTTTTAACATTTAAGCTTAGGCGTTACTGATAATAAGTATAATAAATTGTTTATATTTAAAATTACCATGATACAGTGAGCGAATTCTACCAATTATTAAAACGATAAACAACATCACAGTCTCTAATACTTGTAGAGCTTCAATATTTTCAAAGATTTTTATTAAATTATTATTATTATTTTTATTAATTTTTTTATTATACAAATAAAATAATTTTTTAAAAAATTTTAATTCATATTGTGGAACATTTCAATTTTATCATTTTTACAAATTACCTTCTTGCTACGTAACGACATAATTCCTTACATACCAATAATTAGACAATTTTAATTATTTCTAAAAATTTTAAACTTTACATTAATAAAAAAAGAAGAATATTTTTATTGCATATGAAATCATTACACAGCTTTTATATCAGTTTCTAAAATTCCTAAATCACATCATATTCTGTGTAGGCATGCTAGAATTCTACGCATTAATAAATAAAAAAAAAATCTAATTCCTCAGAATGAAAGAAAATAATATAATAAAATAAATACTACAAACTTGGAACACTAA